AGAGCTGGGAACAGAACCATCATCTCCTGAGTCTTTAGCCACCAGGCCAGGCAGCCTTCCTTTACAGGAAAAAGAAAAAAGCAGCCTCTTTTTACTCCCCGGCATGCAAAAGGCAGCTCCTGTTTTTGTGAACTGACACCGGACGTCTTTGAGAGCGTGGCCCTACAACGTGCTGCAGCCCGTACGTACTCTGGGATCCCTTTATTGCCACCAGCAAACTCTCAAAGCAGCAGTTGAAGCTTTGCAAGTGTCAGTAACATCCACACCATCAACCTGTTTCCCCTCAGAGAGGAGGCCTTAGGGGGGACGTGTTCACAGCTTGGTTCCTTCGGGCACCTACTTTTAAGGCTTTAGAAACCAAAACCTCACGGCAGGCCCACTGGCACTCTGCCCAGTGAGGCTCTTGACATAGGTCAATGCCACCATCCAGAAGACAAGTCACCACACAACCCGCATAAGGCCACTTTTCCGGAAAAACTTGCCAGCTGTCTACACTGGCCGCTTGAATTTCCGCAAAAGCACTGACTTCCTACTGTCTGAAATCAGTGCTTTTTGCAGAAATACTATGCTGCTCCCGTTCGGGCAAAAATGGCGATCGGGGCTTTTTTGCAGAAAAGCGCGTCTAGATTGGCACGGACGCTTTTCTACAAAAAGTGCTTTTGCGGAAAAGTATCCGTGCCAATCTAGACACTTTTCTGAAAATGCTTTTAACGGAAAACTTTTCTGTTAAAAGCATTTCCGGAAAATCATGCCAGTCTAGACATAGCCAATCAGATTTATTGGGGCATAAGCTTTCGTGGACAAAGACCCACTTCATCAGCTGCGTGTAGTGAAAATTCCAGAGACAGGTATAAATATACAGGCATAAGAAAAGAGTTCCAATCAAGAGTAAGGTTGGAGATAAAGAGGTCAGTTCAGTCAAGGAGGGTGAGGCCCACCCTCATTACAGGCTAAAATTCTCATCCTTCCAAACTTCAATATAAGCATCGGTATCAAGTCCATTAGGGTATGTCTATACTAGCCCCCTAGTTCCAACTAGGGAGGCTAATGTAGGCATTTGAAGTTGCAAATGAAGCCCGGGATTTAAATATCCCGGGCTTTATTTGCATCTTCCCATCCGGGCGCCATTTTTAAATCCCCATAGTCCGAACTAACTGCCCGCGGCTACACGCAGCAACCAAACGTTAACTCGAACTAAGGACTTAATTCGAGTTAACGTTTGACTGCCGCGTGTAGCCACGGGCAGTTAGTTCAGACTAAGCGGATTTAAAAATGGCGCCCGGATGGGAAGATGCAAATAAAGCCCGGGATATTTAAATCCCGGGCTTCATTTGCAACTTCAAATGCCTACATTAGCCTCCCTAGTTGGAACTAGGGGGCTAGTATAGACATACCCTAATGGACTTGATACCGATGCTTATATTGAAGTTTGGAAGGATGAGAATTTTAGCCTGTAATGAGGGTAAACACCGATTTCCTTGCGCGCGCGCACACACACACACACACACACACACACACACACACCCCCCCACCCACACAAACATACA